TATTTTGCAAGTAATTTATCCAAGGTACGATCTTATTTTAGACCTTTCATTTTTGCTTTACACCGTAATTTTAAATGAGTTACAATTCCACCCTAATAATACTTCATTTTAATTTTCACAGTAAAATTCCTCTAGGAATAGTAGACCTCGTATTCAACACAAAATTTGTTTCAAATATACGTCAACTATCGTTGATAGATCCAAATCTAGTGATGTGAAACGTGGTTCAAAATTAAAAATAAGTAATTCCTTTTTCTTTTTCGTAAACTGGTTCGGTATAGAAGCGAATTTATTGCACATACTGGACGACCGTCGCCCGACAAGTTACAACTCGGCAAGTTAATTCAAATACAATTGTAACTAAATAGATGTAGGTAAAGGTATGGATTAAAGATAAACTATTTTTTAAAAATCTTATCGCTTTAACTTTCTGGAGGCCAACATAGAACTGTTAGATTTAGTAATATTGAGTAATTAGTTTATATTTATTGTATAGTCTTAACGTCTACTTTAGAATCTGATGCTTATCTTCGTTATGAAAACATTCTATACTAGCTTTCGCCCGCGACTCCGTCCGCGCGAAATAAAACAGACAATTACAAGCAAACGTGTTCTTTTAGATCGTGTTCTACATCTATGCTAAATATCCGACATTCTTTCAGCCGTATAGGCTGTAAACTCTAACAAACTTCCATCCATCAATCCCTCTAAATTTTCGCATTGTGGTATTTCAACAATCAATCGCGCTCATCCTGCAAGAGACGTTCTTGCTTACATCAATATTACTTAACACTTTTTTCCCTTCAAGGTTATGTTTTTAAGACATTTCAGATAAAGTATAATCTTTTTAGACAATGCCTACTGTTTTATATCAAGCGGATAAACCGTATCTTGTGTAGAAATACCTACAATAGAACAAATAAGCAAAATAATATTTGTATGTTGCAGTCCGGTGAAGACTTAAGTTCGGATATCTACAGCGTACCCTGGGAGGAATGGGCGGATCCAGTCGTCACGAAACTATTGATTTTCATGATAGCTAAATCCCAGCAACCGCTCCTTCTCACAGGCAAAGGAATGGTGTACTTCAACATGCAATTATTTATATCCGTTTTACAAACATCATATTCATTCTACACTTTAATTTCAAGTTAAATGTTATTTATTTCACTACAGATGGTTTTTAGGCACATATTCACTTCGTTATGTAGATCTAACAATTATAAAATGTTTGCAATTTTATTTCAAGTATTATAAGCATCTATTATTTAGTTCTTAGGGCCTGTCCCACCAAATTAGATATCGTCTGCTAGCAATCCAACGTGTAAAATATGTGATGGAAATATCGTATTTTGTTACCTTATCTGACAGTGAGGTCGTTTTTAAGCTATCTTTCCATATATCAGCCTGTGGGACAGGCCCTTAATGTTACATTTCAATCTGAAATATGACACATTCCAGATTTTTTTCAAAACATATGAATGTGTTATTAACAATTTGAGCTGTTTACTGAAGTCAATTATCACATTCCATTAAATATGAATAGACAATGTTTAAATAGTTGTCTATTGTTTCTTGTGTTAGGTTCGTTCACACCTTTGTTTTTCATTTAATTAATCAACATTTAAACAATTAAATATTTTGAACACGTTACGCATAATAATGCATTGAGTTCATTGAGGTCAATGTCATTTCTTTTTTAATTATTAAAGTTCAAATATAACATGTGGTTTTAATTTAAACAAATAAAGAGTTACCATTTATTATTCTTTGTGAGAGCAATGTATTTGAACAAGTGTTTCCTTTGACTTTCACTATATTGTCACTTGTTTTGTTTGATAGCAAACCTATGACCTTGAACGACAAAAACGTGACCTCCCTACATACTCTATGAAAGTAACAGAGATGAGAACATGTACAAGCGTTTTGGCACTAGTCACAATAACGAGTGGCTATTCAGTCACATAGAATTAAATAAATGTTTTTGTTTAAGAATAGAAGTAAAGAAAATGGCGCGTCATTAAATAATTTAAGTCAGTACTACCAAATTCTTGCAAATTGTCAGATATAAAATATGTGATGGAAATATCGGATTTTGTTACTCTATCTGACAGTGATAGATACTTTTAAGCTATCTGAGCCTTTATCAGCCAAAGGTGGGACATGCCCTCAAAATTACAAATTTTTATACTATCTGTTTGTTTAGGCCTCAAATTCCAAACATTAAATTAACACTTTATCGTTTAGGCGAAACTAGTTGGGCTACTAAATGGGCGAACCCATTGGGCGAAATTCGATCACAGCTCGTAATGAGGATTTTTCAATTTTTTTTTAGTTTTAATAAATTTCTTTTCCGCATTAACAAACTGCGTTAATCGTCCGCAATCTTGTTAAAAGTGGATACAGTTTTCAAAACAAGCTTGACATACATACTTACAATTCTAAAAGTAAACACTCACAATAATTACCTGAATAGATTAACTGAAGTAGCCGGAAGTGTGGAAATAGAACTATTTCAATTAACGAGGAACAAAACAAAACATTTGAAAATCAAAACAATTATGTCAACATCGCTTGAGATAAGAAGAAAGCTGTAATTTCATATTGATATCGGTTCTTCAGAAACTGAAGATGTTATTACTGGAAGCAGTAAACAACTTTTATCTATATTTACAGTAAAAACAAACTATTTAATAATGAATTGAAATTGTTGCAGCACTTGATACTGAAAAACATCAATAACCAATCTGTTTTCTTTCAAATATTAGCTAGCAACGAGCGAATTATTTTTTTTAAAATGAAGAGACTAAAAGGCAGAAGGTTCCGCCTATGATTTAAGACAACGTTTTTCTCGTAAATAACTCTAAATAATATAGGCTTCGAAATATCGCAATGCCCAGGATTTACTTTGGAGTAAAATGAGCTCTGTGTTTTATTATCTTCTATGTTATTGTTTATTCAAATCATACCAATATTATACATGCGAAAGTTTACATGGATAGATGTTTGTTAGAGTTTGTAGCCTTAACGGCTGAACGAATTTCGATGAAATTTGGTATAAATGTAGAGAATAGTCTGGAACACATAGGCACTTAATTTTTTTTTAATTCCACGCGGACGAAGTCGCGGGCGAAAGCTAGTATTTTTTCAAAATTGTAGTTACATTGTTGACTTATGAAAGAGGTGAAAATTTTCCATAAAATATGCCTTTATAATTTTGTTTAATCACGCGAAACCTTACGCGTAATGCGTAAATAGCGTA